GCCCCCGAATTGCCGCAGGTGCCGCCCCTCTCCCTTGGCCGCCCCAAGCACCTGCTTGTTAAGCTGGTGCCTGGAGCCGGCCCTGTTTATACTTCATTGAGTAGAAGATGGATTTTTAATTCTTCTGTCCTAACAGGGCCTACCCTGAGCATCTTGCATGTGAAACATTCAGTGTTGTTGGAGGCACTTGGGGGAATTTGCTGGCTGTGTGCATCAGCGCCTGAGTGAGGTTGTAGTAGCTAAGCTGTAGAAGGGCCCTACTAGTAGTGTTAGCTAAGGGGAGAGTTCCTTCAGCTCAAAGAGTTTAGGAGCTGAAGAGCCAGGATTCTAGCCCTGGTCCCCAGTTGCGTGTGATTTAGCTGAGAACTGTTTCTGTCTGCAGTGCACTGATTCATTACAATAATTCAGTAAACTATGTTCCACCTTTGTGACGAGGCATTAGGTTCGGTTCATACTTCTGAAGTGTCCCACATGGAAGAACTAAATGTACCTCAGGCCCGTTCATTCCTGGTATTATGCCTGCTGCCAGTAGTTGCTCTGTTAGTTTGAATTTAACTAATTAGCAGTTTCCCACACTCAAAACTGTGGCTGTGTCTCCATTGTGTAATTACTGCACCCAGCACTCAAACTGGGTCTGTGGTGCTTTTTAGGGAGCTGGCCTACTGGATAACTCCAAAAGGAGCAGCTGTGCTAAGCTTCTCTCAGTTGGAAATTGCTTTTTGCCTCTCTAATGTCTCACTTTGCGTGTGGTAAATTATTGATTTTGGAAGTGCTGAATTGTAGAGGTGAGGCTGCAGAAATGGATTATCCTCAGTAATGGATCCCACGTCTGCACCCATTAAAGCTTTTAAGGCCTCCCACATACTACCGAAGCATTATTTTCTCAGATGGAGAAATCCAAAATGGCCACCATGACGTGTTGGACTCCACAAGGACCCTGCCAAACCACACAGCTATTGAAAGAACAGTATCAGAGAGGCAAACAATCCATAGGTCCAATTATAGATCCTGGGCCAGATTCACTCCTTTGAGCACAGGGCTTGCAGTTTGTACCCTCTATGCACATAGGAACAGCTGTGCTAGAGCGTGATCTGTATGGATTCCCCTCCTGGAGAGCAGCCAAATACTCTGGTAATGGAGGCCATATAAGTACCCAAGATAGATAGATCTCTCGAGACGCCATGTGCCCTTCCTACCACATGTGCAGGTCTTTCAAATCCAGCTGAATGAATGCACAGAAACTTGGGGGCGTCACCTACAAAGGTGGTGCGTACGTGCGTTTGTGTTAAAAGTTGAATTACAGACAGAACTTCTCCATTGGCCCTCGAAAGCTGTGTGTGACTTTTTATTTCTATTAAACAGGTATTGTGTGGAAATCAAAGGGGACGAGGGGGTGGGGAATTAAATGGCATAACCACAGATGACTAGCCTCAGACTACGCAGCATAATCAACATGTCTATGTCCTGGGACCTAATGCCTCCAACAGCAAAATAGCAAAGGCTGGCTGTATCCAAGTGGGAGTTTGACACAAACAGCATTTTCCACAAGAAGCAGATTCCCCAGCAGGTTGTTGGTTTTGTAGTTCCCTTTGTGGAGTGCCGTGAATTCGAATCTAGGGATTGTCACAGCAGCAGATCATGGAGTGTAACCTGAAGCAGAATTGATATTTCTACATGCCTATTTCCTCTTCTCAGGAGACAGATACTGGGTGTTCAAAGACAATAACGTGGAGGAAGGATACCCTCGGCCAATTTCGGATTTTGGCTTGCCACCGGGAGGCATCGACGCTGCTTTTTCCTGGGCCCACAATGACAAGACTTATTTCTTTAAGGACAGTCTCTACTGGCGCTATGACGACCATGAGCGGAGGATGGATCCCGGCTATCCTTCCGAGACCACTTTGTGGAAGGGCATTCCAAGCACGTTAGATGACGCAATGAGATGGTCAGATGGTGAGTCGGTGCTAGCTTAGCAGAGTTTGGTTTTGTTTTGTTTTTAACGTAAGGCCTTGTCTTTACTTAGAAATGTTGTGGCTTTAACTAGGCCAGCATAGTTAAACTGGAGTCAGAAAAAAGGCTTTAGTGCAGACACAGTTATACTAATATAAAAGCGCTTCTACCCATGTAGCGTATTCTGTTTCAGTAAAGCAAAATAAGCGATACCAATATAAAGTGCCTTATCCCAGTATAGCTGCATCTACAATAGGGCTTTTACCAGCATAACTACTCTGGCAAACAAAAATCAGATCCCTTACCAACATAATTATGTCAGTAAAACTTTTAAAGTGTAGCCTGGACCTAACACGCTATTCCAGCAGTGATGCACATTATCACTGGAGTTCTCATGAGACCTTGTGACTACAGCTGTGAAATCTCACCATGCTGCAGTTTTACTCAACGGGAGACAGAGCTGTTATCACAAGAATCTTGTGGTCAGTCTTGCAAGTTGTTGCTCAGTAACTGGACATGTGTCACTGCTTGATGTGTAAAGCATGTCTAATAAGTAGCAAATGCAAGGATGTAGGCAAGTCCGGGTTCTGTATTGCACCGGCCAGGGGCTGCAATATGTCTGACGGCATACATACCACCTTGGGTTGTGATTGGATGAAATAAGCAGAGTTGAACTAGCTCATTTCTTGGGTGGGGGACCTCAGAGGTAAAACCCCAGTAAGATATGTTGAGGACACTCTGCTCTCTGTCAAAACCATGCTGTACGCATACATTAGTAGCAATACCAACCAATGCGTCACATGATATTAAGCGACATGGGGCTTTGGACATAACAATAAATTCCTGATCACTTTGGACATCTTAGGGCATTTTTGCAAAAGTGGAGCATGTGTTCCAGCATCCTAGACAAATTCCAGTGAAGGTAACTCTGTTCTGCTACCCCCATTCCCCTGGTGCTTTGATAGGACAGGAGATTCTTCGCATTTTTTGTCTTGAAAGTGCTGCAGCACTGCCAATCTGGGGTATGTCTAGACTCCGAGCTGAGGGTGTCACTCCCAACTCCAGGAGACATACCCACACTAGCTCTCAACCAGCTAATGTGTTAAAAATAGAATATAGGATGGCAGTGTGAGCTGTAGGGCAGGCTAGCTGCACAAGCACATGCCCATCTGAGGCCCTAAGGGAGGGGAATTGTTTAGCATAGGACAAGAAATTATAGCTAGGAGTACCAGGATGAATTTAATTCTGTGAATGATGAGATTAAATTCCCTAGGCAAGCAGTATACACATCCTCCACTGCACTCAGTTTTTTTAATATGGCAGTCATCCACCTCTAAAGACAATGAGCACCGAACCAGATCAGTTATTGTGTGTCATGCTGCGTATATATGATAGAAGCAGCATTGATACTTGTCTGATGCCAAATAGGTTCTATTGTTTGCTATGAACATTATTCTTTTTCTTGAAGTCTTCAGAATTATTTCCGATCCTACATGTGCTCTGCAACGATACCATGTTCTGGATTTCTGCCTTTGTTATTTATTATCATTTTACACTCATATTGCAACTGTTCGTGCTAGGCACTGTACAAACATGTAGCGAGAGACAGTTCCTGCCCTAAGAAACGGACAACCAAAGGCCCCAATCTTGTCAGTTGCACTGCAGAAATCAGTGGGGATCATTTAGAGCAGCTTGTAGGACTGGGGCCTCCTAAGGTGGTTGATTAGGGCAAAGCAAAGGCAATAGTCTATCCTGTTTTGGCAGTAGTCTGGCTTGATCCGTATCATGCGATGGGTTGGATATGGTGTTTTGTCTTTTGCCGTATTTGTTGAAATTTGAGTTGGGAAAAAATAAGTTAATAAGATATAAAGAGTTTTGATTTTTTAAGTAAGTGTTTGGCAGTGGGTCAGAAAGCTCCTTCTAGGGGAATGAGATTTATTGGTGTGGGGCCTGATCTCCCTGGGGGAGGGGCGGGAAGTTCCGTTAGTGGAGACGTAAAACCATCCATTCCCTCCAGCACAAGCACTACTTACAAGAAAGTGACACTTCCAGGTTTGATTTAGATGTCAAACGAACTATGTAATAGTGACCTGGGAAGAGGGACATCTCCAGGGGCTTATCGGGCTGAACCTTGGAAGCTTTTGAGCATTGCTCATCACTCCCATTGGCAGGTGTCCTTAACGAGCATGGAGCGAGTTCAGGGAATTCAAAATGTACCTGTTCGTGGATGAAATTTACCCCTGGACAAGAGGTCTGTGTGCAACCCACTACACCTCCTGGGCGTGGTGTTCTGTCCCATCTAGTGGCACCGAGACCACTTAGAGAGAGATTAATGAGTCTGCTTCACAGCCTTAGCTAAGGGCCATGTGGCTTTTAGCTCATGCAGTAGAGGCTCGTGCATTTAGCGCCAGAGATCCCAGGTTCGATCCCACCCGCCGACAACCGGGGTCTGTCAGTGGTACATGTGCAAGGCCCTATGAACCACTTAATCCTTTAACATGGGACTTAAGTGATGCCTAAGATGTAGGAGGCCTCTGTGCTGAGGTGTCTTTTTGAAATGCCTGGCTCGCAGGAGCACAGTATATTGTAGGAGTTTCTCTTCCCAGGTCCCTGGTGGATTAAAGGCCTTGAGGTTATCTCTTTAAGAATATGCCAGCGGCATCACAAAACCCTCAGCATATTCTCTCTGGGCACATCAACATATAGGCCCTTCTGTCAAATTAGACATGTGAGGCCTTGCCCATCTTCTTCCCCCACCATAACTGGGCCTTTGGCACCATGGCTGGTGAGTCGTGTGTGTGGCAGACCCCCCCTGACTTGGCCACTGTAGTAGCATACACTTAAAGCCAGCCCTGTAAACAAACAGGTGGCACCATGTCCCTGCCTACTGTGCTGTCGTGAACAGGTGCAAGTGGACAAAAACTCCATTAATCCTGGTGGAGTTGCACCTGCTCCCATCAGCTCAGGATGTTTCCGTTACTGCTGTGTCCAGCTGGGTGTGAGCACCCCTTTGCTGCCATGGAGACTAGTGATAGAGAGCCCCTCCGAGAGCTCATGCCTGCTAACCCTGCATGTCTTTGTTTTTTTCCAGGTGCAACCTATTTCTTCAGGGGCAAGGAGTACTGGAAAGTGTTGGACAATAACCTGGAAGCAGAACCTGGTTACCCTCAGTCCATCGCCAGAGACTGGCTGGTGTGCGGTGACATGCAGTCTGATTCTCCAGACTCAGCAGGGAGCAGCAGGACTGGGGCGCACTCCAAGCAAGGGCAGCACGACGAGAGCCGTTCGGAAAACGGCTACGAGGTCTGCTCATGCACCTCTTCCTCAGATTCCCTCTTGGCCCGCCCGGCACTCAGACTCTCAGCAAGCCTTCTGCTAGCAAGCGTGTGGACAGCAGCAGTGGCTTGCGCAGCACTATGACATCCAGTAACATGGACAAGAAGACGTTACGGTGCTTCAGGGACTGGTGGTGGATAGAATCACACCGTGCTACACTGTTACAGCCGAAACAAACATGCCTAGGAACGTGGCAGCGAAGGTTTCAAGTTCTCCATGAGAAGTGAACTGGGTTTATTTTTATTTTTTAGTTAAAGGTCTAATAATGGACTGTGGGTTCTGCACCTTCTTATTCCCCCAACCAGCTAAAGAATAAAGACGTTGCTGAATATTAGTTACAAAGGTTCCATAGAGATGGAACACTCAGGGTGTGTAAGAACTGCCAAGTAGAGACGGCCTGGATATATTGAAAGGCGACTCTGGTTTCATGAAAACAAACCAGATAGTGGTGAAACCCAGTTGTTATTCCAGGAACAAAAACAGCCCCAGTGTAAGGCTATGGGAAAGATGCAACAGCTGTGCTGACATTCAGTAATGTAACATATGCATCCAAGTGGAGGTATGAGATAGAATGGCATCTTGACTGCACTGGGCTTGATTGCAAAGTGGTACATTTCACAAACAAATCTACGCTGCCAACTGATGTCAAGCTAACCCATGCCAGTTTCTATAGATCAGAAACATATTTGCCTTTATAAAGGACGTGAAAGTCACCTTTGATTCCAGATGTTTAAATGTAAGGGCTTCTCTGTTAAATCTTGGCCACACAAACATAGATACCGTGGTCAGCAGCAGGTATCGATCCCCCTATCTTCAGCATACGCCTTGACTGCTCGAGCTAGAGTAGCTCTTTCAGCTCTGAGCAAGTAGCAGGCTGTTATAAGCACTGAGTGCAGTCGTTCGGCTGAGATGCAGTTACACACACGAAGCCAGTGTAATCCACATGCATCTAACTTTTCTGCTCCCCTAAATTCTATTCTAGATGTATTTCGTGATTGATCGCTGTATACAAAAATCACATTCGTTTAAGGCTTCCTTTGAAGGATCTGTGAGGGACTAAACTTCGAATTGTGGATGCACGCGCTAGTTTTAAACGTATTTTCAAATAGCATGTTCTGCTTTTTGGCTGGCTTCTTATATCAGCCAGACGCCATTATGATACCATCAGTTGTGAATCAATTATTCTATATGCCACTGTCACTGTTTAATTTGGCACCATGAAATACACTAAGGGAGAATGAAGGGGATTAAATGTTTTAAAGTGGGGATCTTGCTCCGTAAAAATGACATCACAAAATTCCATGTTTGTCTCTCCTTCACTTACAGATCCAGTTTGCTCGGTTCACAAGTAAAAAGATGGTTTTATAACTGTCCCCAAACTCTACATGGGACCAGAGAGTCAAGCTGGGTTCTGTCTGGCTCCTGGACCAACACCTGTCCCCTTGACTCAGTGGAGGTGTATTATAGATGTACATATGTGGGGCTCCTATGGTTGGTTGAAATGGTTTAAATTTTACACGTTCCATCAAAAATGTTGTTTGAATTTTGAGCAAAAGATGTTCAGTGAAATCTTCACAAAACTTCTCTCCCCTCTTCCCCCCGCCCCCGCACATACTTTAGACAAACTTTAGAGCTAGCTGAAATTTCTGATATATTGAAGTTTGATTAAGTTTATAAGAACTTGAAGACAGGATGAAATTTCAGAACTGGAAAATAATGATGAAAAGCTTTTCACCATTTTTTCCTTCTGTTTTTCTACCTGCTCTAGTTGCACCTTACCTCCATGTTGGGATCATGGTTCTCCTCTGGGTGAGTGTGTACTTTATACGTTGCAGTGATAGTGTGTGCCCTCAGTGTACTCGAGTTGGGAAGCACGTGCGCTTGCTATCGGTGGAATGTATGTGTACACGACGCATCTTGAAGGACAACAATTACTGTACGGGTAAATAACCCTTTCTTCCTGGTGGTGGTATGTGAGCAAGAAGGAGCCAGCTTGACTCTCAGATCCAAGGAGAACTTGAAGGACAACTAGATTTTAAAAAATCCTTTAAACTGTAAATTGAGCAACTTTGGTGTTGAATTACACTGCTTAGAAACTCCCCCAAAATTGTGATCAACTATTTCACTGGGGGAAAGTCGGGGTTGGGATCAAAATTGAATTTTCAACCCAAAACAATGTGTTAAAAATTAGAAATTTTCCACTGGCCCTAAGTCTGGAGTCAGTGAAAGACAGTCAACATGGAACCCCGCAATGTCGATTTTCAGAGTAGAACACTTTTAAGGGAGCCATTTTCAAAAGTGCTGAGACCTGGCCTAACTCTGTTCCCATTGAGGTCAACATTGAAAATTGCTCTTGAAAATCCACCGAAGAGCCCCTTCAATGATATTTCCTGGAAGAGACTCTTTATTTAAAAAGAAAGAAAGAAAGAAAGCAGCACAAGTTTCCTCTAACTTCCAGATGGATTTAAATGATGAAACATCTCTTCCGAAGTCTTTTGATCATCGGCCTTTCTCTCTCTCCTTTACCATGTGGATCATGCTGACAAGTAACTCTTCTCTTCAGACTAGCCACTATGGTGGCACTGAACAGGCTGGTGTCTTTTGGTGGCCTAGCGGGAAGCTGGATAAGGAATTTAAATGGTGACTCTCACACACTTGGTGCCATTTTGGGGTGAGTGGGTGGGTGTGGTGTTAAATGGGTTATATTAACTCTTTCAGTGCTTCAGGGAATGGTGTGGCTTGCGGGGAGCAATGTCCAAACGGCTGCACCAGATTGTTTAGTTCTTGGTGGTTTTACTGTGGTAAGTCCCCCACCAAAGGCTCTTCAGCAGAGTAGGCAGTGACAGGATAAGCAGGAAGGGCCTCTCACGGATCGGTAACTGATTCAAAGATAGGAAACAAAGGGTAGGAATAAATGGTCGGTTTTTACAGAGGAGAGGTAGATAGCAGGGTCTCCCCAAGAGTCTGTACTGGGACCTGTTGCTGTTCAACATATTCATAAATGATCTGGAAAAAGGGGTAAACAATGAGGCGGCAAAGTTTGCAGACAATACAAAGATACTCAAGGTAGTTCAGTCCAAACCCGACTGTGAAGAGCTACAAAGGGATCTCACGAAACTGGGTGACTGGGCAACCAACTGGCAGATGAAATTCAATATTGATAAGTGCAAAGTAATGCACAACGGAAAACGTATTCTCAACTATCCATACAAAATGATAGGGATCTAAATTAACTGTTACCATTCAAGACAGAGATCTTGGAGTCATTGTGAATAGTTCTCTGAAAACATCCGCTTGATGTTCAGGAGTAGTCAAAAAAGCTTGGGAAAGGGATAGATAATAAAACAGAAACTATCATAATGCTGCTATATAAATCTATGGTACACCCACACCTTGAATACTGCATGCAGTTGTGGTCACCCCATCACAAAAGAGATATATTCAAATTGGAAAAGGTGTTGAGATGGGGAACAGAAATGATTAGAGGGGTGGAACAACTTCCATACAAGACTGGGACTGTTCAGCTTAGAAAAGAGATGAGTGGGGGGAGAGATGATAGAGGTCTATAAAGTCATCACTGATATGTAGAAAGCGAATAAGTAAGTGCTATTTGCCCCTTCACATAACACACGAACTGAGGGTCACACAATTAAATTAATAGGCTGCAGGTTTAAAACAACATAAGGAAGTCCTTCTTCACACAACGCACAGTCAACCTGTGGAACTCATTACCAGGGGATGTTGTGAGGGCCAGAAGTATAACTGAGTTCAAAAAAGAATTAGATAACTTCATGGAGGACAGGTCCATCAGTGGCTATTAGCCAAGTTGGTCAGGGATGCAACCCCATGTTCTGGGTTTTCCCTAAGCCTCCAACTGCCAGAAGCATCTGTGACTGGCCATCAGAGACAGGATATTGGGCTACATGGACCATGGATCTGACCCAGTATGACCATTCTTATGTTCTTAAGTCCATTTCCCTGGGTGTACACTGAGCAGCTGAGGGCACCTAAAGGGACTGAATTAGATCCAGAGCTGGTAAACAATTCCCCACCCAAAGAGCTGTCAAAATGGCGGTGCTACTGTAATTCAGCAGCTGTTAATGGACCCTAAAGGTGTGGGTTTGCCAGCAGCTGCTGGTACATGTTGTTATGTTTCTCTGCCCGGCACATGCAGCATAGAGTTTATTAAAAGCCATCACAAAAATCACTCTCCCCCTTCTCCCCAAATGCCAGGCCTCGGTTAATAGCATGACACAGGGACTCGGAAGCAGGCTGCAGCATCCCTTTGGGCTCATATTGTAACACTTTATCTTTGCAACATTGCTGCTGCTCTGGTCATATCCCAGTCTGGGGCTGCTCCAGAAGAAGAACAAAAAAAACCCCCACCTTGATCAGAACAGACTAGCATGTAAGACGGGCTGGAAATCGTCATCGACAAGCTTGGGCGGCTCTGTGAGGGCTGCTTCTGCTGGAGAACCACAATGAAAGAGGAAGCAGTACTTGACAAGGCCCATTTCCTTCACAGCAGGATGCTCCTTTGGTTCACTTGAGCTAGAGCCCCGAAGCCACTTTGTTTTTTATCTTGCTAGGCACTGATGGGCCATTGATTTCTAAATTACCAACCACATTTGTTTTGAAAGCGCCAGCCCCATTAGTCTGCACCTCCTGTGATTAGCTGGTGGCTAGTGCTACAGCAAGGCTCATGTGGAGCCTAACTGTATAGAACTGCTGGTGTTTCACCATCACAAAGATCTTATCTTTGCTGGGAGGAGACCTGCTGGTTTGCAGAGTTCCTTGAGCTAGCATTGCTGTTTCCCCCTCACCCCCCACTTGGGGCTGGATGCAAATACCAGTGGAAAATCGATGGGAGTCTTGGATCAGACTCCCATGGAGCTATGTTGGGTGCCTTTTTCTAGAGTGGGAACAGGACACAATTGCATCCTGACAAATTTAAAAAAAAAAAAAGCAAACGGTCACCTTGTGTTTGCCCATCTACTGTTTGCATTTTTAAGTATTCACAGTGATTTGCAAAATGGGACTGTTTTTAGGACATTATAATGCAGTGTGATTTTACGGGACACTGAATGTGAACACGTTTCATGGAAACCTCCTGTTAAACCATTAAATATCCTTTCTAAAAAAAGTGTGTGTGGCGGGTCCCTCCGTCAGGTAAGGTCGTCTCTGAAATGTCATTCCTTAGGAAGGACCTCTCCCCTCAGATGGATTCCGCACCATCTCTCTCTGTGGGGCTGTGCTAAAGCCCACGGGTCCTCATAGATTCATAGATTCTTCTTCAAGTGATGGTCCCTGTGATGGGTTGCCCCCCCACCCTGATCTGCTGAGCCAGGCCCTCAAGCCTCTTCCAGCACACACGCAGGTAGCAACCCGGGGCGAGGGGAGGGGTCAACCCGTCACAGCGGCGTAGTCGGCAGGACAGTGTAAGGGAGCCCAGGCTGGTGGAACAGGCAGGTTCAGTGGTACCTCAGTACATTAGATGGCACCTTGGGGGGGACACCCACAGTCCGTATGTGTATTCCACCCGTGGGGTGCGCATGCGTGCCACTTGCCTGAGTCTGGAAGTGTTTTCTAGCAGTGTCCATTGACACGCACATGCGTAGTGAGTCTCCTCATGCTCTCAGCTGAGGGTATAAGAGAGAGTGCGGGTCGATGCCACTCCATTTGTCTCTTACTGCTGCATGGCCTGAGTTGGCTAAGAGGGTTATTCCTGCTTGTAGATATTGTGTAGAGAGTTTTAATAGTTTTAGGGTTTAAGTTGTACAGTAATAGCATAGTGGTAGACAGAAGTGATGTACCAGCCTGCACCAGGAAAGCCTTACATAGAGCCTACTATCCCAGGGAATGGCCAAACCCTCCAGGCAGTGGACAAGTTCACCTACCTTGGCAGTACATTGTCAGGTGCAGTCACATCGATGATGAAACCAACGGCAGAATTGCCAAAGCAAGTGTGGCCTTTGGCAGAGTATGTGCAAATGTGTCGGAGTGCAGGTCTTTGAGGCCACATTTCTACCCATCATGAAGCTCCACTCTCATTAATGTGATCTTCAGACATGACCACAGGAATACTGAAGATCACTGGGGGCTGGTAATGGGATACTTCTTGGTCACTGGTTCAAATTCAGACAGAGTCAGTGAGGACTGAAAACGGTTACCAGCTGACAGCTGTTCAGTAGCTGATGTGAAAGGAGCTG